GGGGGGGGGGGGGGGGGGGGTCCGAACATGAGCAACAACTGCTGAAATGGCCATGCGTTTTCAGCAAATTCAATTGCGTCCCATATACAATCATGAACCAAGTCAAATCAAATAAGAGCTCTTAAAATAGATGCAGAGAAAGAGAAGGGGATATTGATATATATAGATAGAGACATGGGGAGAACATGTGACAGAAAGGGCGAGAGAGAGAGAGAGAGAGAGAGAGAGAAATTGAGAGAGAGAGAGAGAAATGGAGAGAGAGAGAGCGAGAGAGAGAGAGAAATTGAGAGAGAGAGACAGAGTGGGGGGCAAGGAGGAAGGGAGTTCGGAATCATGATAACGTGTTTAGTAGATTAGAAATAAAAATGAGTTGACATATTGCATTGAAGACTAAATGAGGGAAAGAAAATATGTGGAAGGGTTGTGTGTGAGAGGTGTGTGTTAGAGTTGTGTGTGAGAGTTATCACAGAGAGTTGTCACAGAGAGCTGTGTGTGAGTGTAACGGAAAGCCTATAAGACGTAGCCTGTTTTGCACGCCTCTGATTGTACAATTTCAACACTCACATGTCCATACCACGGCAGGAAGTTGAGGCCGGACAACAGGACCGTGAAGACACACGCCGACAGGAGACCGGATGTGGTCAAGGAACAAGTTTGAATCTGTGGATACGTGTACTGTTTATCTTATTCAAAGTATTACAGTTTCATTATTGAAACTCTAGAATAATTGTTATATTTGCAACAAAACTTGCGATCACCCCCCCCCCCACTGAAATAACTAAACGAAAAGATTTTTGTCTGAACTATGTGACACAGTTATAGATGGCTAGATGGTATTTTATTGATTTGTTTTTTTGTTTAAAATAAATTTTATTTACAAGACTTAATCTCCATTTAATACAGCGGTTCTCAACCTATGTGTCGCGACCCCTTTGGGGGGTCGCACGACCCTTAACCAGGGGTCGCCTAAGACCAACTGAAAACACATGTGCTGTACAGTTATGAAGTAAAAGCGAAAATAATTGGTGGCTGGGGGTCGCAACAACATGAGGAGCTCTATTAAAGGGTCGCGGCATTAGAAAAGTTGAGAACCACTGATTTAATACAAAAGGCGCACTCAAAAACAGGGACCATTCACCGGCATTTAAAGTATAGACTTGGCTTCGTTTTGCAAATATATATATATATATATATCTTTTTGTGGTATGACTGTTGTGTTATAAATTCATATATATATAAATGATTTGTGAATAATTTAACATACATTGTTCCTCATGCAGCTGAATTTCACTCGTCTTGGTAATTCTATATATG